AAGGGTTTGTTCCATATTTGGTCTGAAGCATCCTTGGGTGAAGGGGAACCAATTTTGTATAAACCGTGGGTCTGGCTCCTCCGGGGCCTGAGGGGCAGGCCCAATAGGGGAAATATAGCAAATTCTTTAATATGTATCTTCTTCTTCTGTAGGAATGAAGGGATTTGTTCCATATTTGGTCTGAAGCATCCTTGGGTGAAGGGGAACCAATTTTGTATAAACCGTGGGTCTGGGGCCTGAGGGGCGGGGCCCAATATGGGAAATAGAAGTAAAACCTTTATAATCCTTCTCCTACCATATGGATTGAGGGATTTTATCCTAATTTAGTCTGGAGCATCCTTGGACAAAAGGGACTCAATTTCGTATAAACAGCGAGTGTGGCCCGCCTGGGGATAGAAGGGAGGGGCCCATGCAATAGGGGAAACATAGCAAATTCTTCATATCCCTTCTTCTTCTGTACGAATGACAGGATTTTGTCCAAATTTGGTATGGAGCATCATTGGGTGAAGGGGAACCAATTTTGTATAAACGGGGTGTCTAACCCCCCTGGAGGCAGAGAGGCGGGGCCCAATAGGGGAAATAGAGGTAAAACCTTTAAAATCCTTCTTTTACCATAGGGATTTAGGGATTTTATCCTAATTTAGTCTGGAGCATCCTTGGGCCAAGGGGACTTAATTTTGTATTTGCAGTGGGTGTGGTCTCCCAGGGGGCAGAAGGGCGGGGGCCAATAGGAGAAATATAGGTAAAACCTTCTAAATCCTTTTTCGATCATCGAGATTAAGGGATTTTTTCCATATTTAGTCTGAAGCATCCTTGGACCAAGGGGTCTCAATTTTGTATAATTGGTGGGTATGACCCCCCTAGGGGCATGGGGGGGGGGGGGGGGCTCTGTTTGAAGTTTGTTCTCGCTACATCTCAAGTCCTGGATGGATCTTTCTGAAATTTCTTATGTACTTACAGCACCTACCATAGAGTGCTATATCTTTACTTCATACCAATTATTTTAAACATATTCAGGTGAGCGATACAGGCCCTCTGGGCCTCTTGTTACTCTTAGGGAGTGAATTTCAGCAAAATTTGACATGGTATATTTCATAATAAGGTATTTTAAAATGTGTATGCCATTTTAGCAAAAATGACATTTTTTCCCCGACCATGCAGCCCGGCCCTTTAAAGCTATGTTAACATGAATATCATGCATTTAGCGATTGACAAGATGTCACAAGAGCAGAATCAACCATTTGGGCATGCAGGACATTGACAGGTATTGCTTGATTGCCTATGCTAAATTTGGTTAAATTCAAGATTGTTTTGCTTCAGATTCAGGGTTATCTCCTGGTTTGAAATTAAAAGAACAGATTGAGTTGGGTTGTGTGTGCATTGTTTTAAAGGAAGTGTTTAGAGGGATATACATCCCGGTAGTCCTATCTGGATGGTTTTGTTTGACTATTTCTGCAACAGAAATGGAGCTGCATGTGAATCATGATCAGTTCAGATATAGAAGTGTTGCAATACAGTTTACTTGTGAAATCCCTAATTATATAACAAGTGCATGTTCTTACTTTTCGTGGTGATCTGTAAAATCAAGATGGCTGCTCTGGAAGGGCTGCACTAATTTACTCCAAATTTGGTACAAGTTAACGTTTTCCTTATGAAGTCAACAACAGATGTTGTTACTTTCGTTCCAATCTGGAAATTCAAGATGGCTACCAAAGTGCCAAAATGGCTGAAACATTTTGGCTTCTTCTAAAGAGTGGCGGAATGATTCCTTACTTGGTACAAAAGGCTCCTTATGAGGTCCCCTACAAGTCTTCTCACTTCCATATATTTACATTTGTGCTGCAGCAACCCACTATATGAACATTACCAGCAGAAATGCAT